GTGGCCTTCAACCCGGCTAATCTCAGCTGGCTCGATCACCCCTGCCTGATGTGCAGGTGATCCTGAACCAGTCTGCAGATGGCAAGCACGCAGGAAGCCTAAAGACCCGCCTTGCTACAGCGCGTGCGGTCCAGAAAGTGCCGTCATGCGCCGTCCTGCGCAGAGGTCGAGCGCTTCCTGGAGTACGCCGAGGCCGCCTCCGTGCTGTGAGTCTAAAGGGGTCTCAAGATGTCTCCGGTTTCGCAGAGGCGTAGTTCATCGTAGCAGCCTGGCCCAGAGGCAGTTCGCAAGCCTGCCCCGGCTGCGGGTGGTGCTGCGGGTGGCGCTCCCGCCAAGGCGCGGTTCCCAAATTCAACAAAGTCGCCTCGCAGTCGCCGACATCGACCCGAGACAGGATGCCTGGCGAAGCGGCACATTCACAGAGCGTCTGCACTATGGGCGGTGGCCTGGGCCAAGACGCTATGTCGCTGTGTGCATGCCCCCTTGGCCCTTGGCCTGCAGAAACTGATATGATGTGGTATGGGGCCAAAGAGGCTGATCAACGGTATCGACAAGTTCATTGAGGGGGATACCGAGGAGGTCCGCTCTTGAAGATTTGCCGGTTTGAGTCCGGCACATCGGGGGCTGCCACTGTGCCTGAATTGCGGAAGGCCCGGGCAGAACTGAAAATCCCGCTGAAAGTCATCGAGGGGCCGTTGATGGAAGGCTCTCGTGCGGCGGAGATCCGCAGAGCATGGGAGCTCAAGCAGGGAGTACTGGTAGTATTTGGCAAGGCATGGGCATCATCGGCGACCTTTTCGGATCCGGAAAGATGTTCTTGCCGCAGGCCTGTGGCTTTTGCCTCACACACTTGGCTTTGCCAATCTCTCTGCCTTGCAGGTCATCAAGAGCGCACGAGTCATGAAGAAGGCCAAATGGCCAGAAATCGAGTTTTCAGTGCATCGTCGCCTCCCCCGTCGGCTGGCAGATGAGGCTAGAAACGCTGACAGGCCGTGGCGTACCTGACCCCCTTCATGGACGACGAAAGGCGTGCAGCCGTTCTCGCCTGAGACCGGCTTGAGACAGTGAGCCGGTTCCCAGCTTAGCACAAAGGGTTCCCGTTTCCAGAGGCCCTGGCTGCCGGCGAGGACCCTGATCAGCCCAAGTACAACGGCGTTGTGCTGATGGCCAGCCCTGTCTTTACATCTTCCTGTTCGACATTGCGCCCTATGTGGGTTGGCTTGATCAGGCAACGGTGAAGGGAGATGTGCACGACATTGGCAAGAACATCGTGGGAGTTGTCCTGGGCTGCAACAACTTCAAGGCACGTGCCGGGGGTTGAAGCCAGATTCTGGCTCTTCGATGTCAGACCTAGGTGATTGACATGGGCGTGATGGTGCCCTGCGAAAATATCCTGGAAAAGGCCGTCCAGGACCCGCATGTGCCAGCGGGGATGCACCCGCTGAGTAGATGCTGGCTAGATCTCGTAGCAAGATGTGTGCAACAAAATCGCAGGAGAAGGTGGATGTCGTAGGACTTTCCGGGTCTGCCTCTGAGTCTTCTGGTGATGCCAGGCATTCGGGAATATGCGGTTTGGCGTTGAGGCTCATCACACCTTCCTTGGACGAGATGGTTTACGTTGCTGTCCGCGCCTCGAATGCGGAGCTGCCGGAGCAAGTTACGATTTGCTACACGCCGCCTCGTTGTCTCACTCCGAGAGAATTTCAGGAGCAGATGAAGGCTCGCGGCATGAAGGCGACCCGCTGTGCATGCGTATGCCGTGCTCAGGCCGAGGGGTATGTCTCGCCCTGTCCCGCGGGTGCCAGGTGCCGTTGATGGTCGGTGGCGCCACCACATCGAAGCGGCACACGGTGGGGCGCCCCAAGAGCAGAAAGCACCTTTATCCCGGCACGATCAACGGCGGCAAGGCGGTGAAGATCACGACCAAGTACGACAACGGCGTGATTCACGTCGCTACCTCTAGTCATGCCTGGTAACCCTCCACTACTAACATGCATGCGGCACAGGTCCTGGATGCGAGCAGAAGCTGCACCGTGGTCAGCGCACTGCTGCCGGCATCTCATTTGCGCAGCATGTCTCGGCCTTCCATGGACTGTTATGCCTCCTGTTCGGGCCGTTGCTAGGGTTGGAATGCTCGATACCGAAGAGGATTTCACGCCTTACTTCTGTTACTGCAAAATGGAGGGGGAGCTATTCTGAGAGAGAGTTTCGGTCGGTGATTTCTCCTGGGATCGACCCAAAGTACTACAGCATCATGTCTCGGCAGTGGCAATCATGAGTTTCTACGCTGCACAGCACTGCCAGTTCTCTTTGAATCAAGCGTCGCACGAGCATAGGCTCACAGACTCGAGAGTCAAGGTCTGCCACATTGTT